CTGGGATTTTTCTCACCCCTTTAGGGCTACTATTTTTCTAAAATGGCAGGAGGACGGAAGAGCATTTGAGGGCCTGATTAGTTGGATATTTGCTATTAAATTCTGCTGTGTGGGAATGTTGTTGCTGCTGTTTTCATTTGCTGGATGACTGTATTAAATTGAGAAATTTGGATTACTGTTAGACTATGATATTATTGCTGTTTTAAGACTTTTATGATCAGCAAGTATTTTGAAAACGAATTTTTGAAACGTTTTGCGAAAATGATTTCTGACGTTTTACTAAGTGCTGAATTTTAAATGGTTTGAAGAGCGTCTTGCGAGTTATGTTTCGAGGGGCAAACGAACTCCAAATTACTATTATTTTATATGCACGCAAAGCCCCAGACGTGCTCTTTCTAGATTATGTGGAACATTTTTTAAATTCGTCGGAACTTATTTTATACGAATTTTTAAAGACAGCAAGGTCAGTCAAGAAATTTCCATTTTCAGCAAGTTAAGAAATTTTGAATGTGCACTTTGATTTTTGGTAAGGAACCCGACTTCAAATACAAGTTTTAATTAGCAACATAAAAATGATTTTTTTGTACTTAAAATAAGACAAAAGAACTCTAATTCCGCTTAGCAAACAACTCTCTTGGAGGCCTACAAGGGAGGGTGTTACAGGTCCTATCCCTTAAAAAAAAACCAAGTTGTGAGTCTTCAAGACCTGATTATCAAACTTGATTTGAAGTTAATTGAGCTATCTCTCAATTTTTATAATAAAACACGTTATTATTTTAGGGTGGGTTGGGGGTACATCTTCTGTTAACTTAACATGTCATAGTATTATATAATATTTTAGAAAAATTAGTGATAAATAATGTGCAGGTCTATCATTGAACAATGTGATCATATAACTAATTAGATACCGTCAAATACTTTGACGGGATTAATTTTGTTTCACTAGTTCTGTCAATGTGTCTGACGGGATTGGCATACTTGGTGCGTCAGCTTCTCCTACGGGACTGTCTGCAGAATCCAACATGAACCATTAGTCCCGTAACAATACATGACAGGACTGGTTTCGTCATTTCTTTTGACGTGTTTTACTGCATTAGTCCGGCAAAACTTATCAAATATGCTTTTAATTGAAAAATCTTTCACAAAAAATTCTTAGTACGGAGTTTTTGCCTATAGTACAGACAAGCTGGACGTAGCCTAAATTGAGTTAACAAGGGTAAATCACCGTGTCAATTCTCTCTCTTTCTCTCTCTATCTTTCTCTTTTCGTTTGTGATTTTGTGTGATTATCAATTTCCAATAGGATGTAGTAACATGCTCCTTAAATTGCTGACTTGAATTGCATCTGTCTAAGCTTTAATAGCTAACTTCGGGTGACTAGTCTTCTTTCATGTCGTGCTTCATATGGTTGAATGAACTTAGTGTATTTGGATGAGTTTGGTCTCTCTGGATGAGCTAATCCTCTTGAGAAAATTTAAAATTGTTTGAGGTCATCCACGCAATCTTGCTTGTAAAGGTCGATTTATAGCCTAGTTGGGTGTGAAGCCTTGGCTAAGGTTGGTATCTTAGTTGACTTTTGATTTTCTCTAAACTAATCCTGATGATTACGTCTTTACATCTAGCATGTTCTTATTGGTCAAACTTATATTGGAGATCATAAGTAGAATTTGCATTGCATACCTTATAATGGGCAGCAACCGTAATGCCATCATGTCAATTGATTGCCCCCTGTGATATTATGAATTTGCCCCCAACCTTGTTGGGGCTTCTCATTTTTGCACGTATAAATTCGATTTTGTGCCTCTTTCCCACATTTCTTGCATTCAACTTCCCCATAAATTTTAAGCGTTTCCAGAGAGTTTTGTGTGTCTCGAATGTCTGGGTTTTCCTCTCTCCATGTAGTATCCTTACCTTTCTTCTTCGTGTCCTTTTTACCTTCTAGAGTCAAAGCACCTCTTCTTTCCTCGAAAAACCAAGTACGACCATGACACAAGCTGTCAAACTCGCATAAATTAATAAAATTAGGTTTCTTAAAATATGTAGTAAAGCGTCAACCTGAGTCGTCTCTCAAGGAAATCGCAAGGATTAAAATCGCATATTAAAAACAAGAAAATAAAAAGGGGTTTTTTTTTGTTTGCTTGAATTAAACTAAAACAGAATGTAAGGAGATGAAATTGAAATTGTAATTTAAAATGACCAACCTAAAGCTAGGATTCCTATGACGTCTTTTCTCGGATAAAAAAAGATACAAGAATCGTGATTGACCTCAATTGAATCAGAACCCTTGCATTCAATTAAGAACCCTGTTTTAGTTGAATCAACCAAAAGATTATGAATTGCATTTATTTCTTGTCACCAGAAATTAAATTTGAATTAAAATTAAAGAATTGATAAACAAATAAAGTGTGAATATAATTTAAAACAAGTAGTCAGATGTCAATTTCCCTCAAGAATGAATTTATAGATGAACCAATTTCCATGATGAATATCTACTATGTAATGTTGATCAACTTTTTTCTTATCATCAAGATGTAATGTCTTACTACCTTGATAGACACATTAATTAGAAACCCCAATGTCTTGGTGATTCCTTTCTTAATACATGACTTAATTACAAAGGTCTTAAGATCACATCAGAAATCCTAGCATCAATGTCTTGACTACTAGAACACTGATGATGAAGTTGTCAAATATAGAAACAATGTAAACATGTCTGTTCTACACTACTCCTTAACATGAAGAATTAATCAAGACAACTTCATACAAATCACATAATAAATAAACAAGACATCTAATTAACCATTCATAAATTCAAACTTGAGTTCCATTGAATCAGACTACAAAGAACTCTACTCAGACATAATTGAAATATAAACAAAGGAAGAAGAAAGATCAAACTCCATTGTCATGATAGTAAGTCTTCAATCTTCAAGTGCAATTACATTGGAAACTAACTAATACAAGAACTAAGTCCTAAAGTATTTGGAAAGTAAGAGAGAGAAGTCAGATCAGAGGATCTGATATGGGAGAGAGAGATAGAATCAGATATATGACAAATGTGAAGGCCCTTGCCTTTTATAGTGTTACAAATTATAACTGAAAACTAACATGACGCTAAAACGTTCATGAATGGGCGTTTTAGCGTCCATGTTTGACGGATGCCCAACTGCTTTTAACTAACTTGGACACTAAAATGTGAACTGTTGAACGTTTTAGCGTCCATGTCTGGTGAATGCTCAACTGCTTCCAACTGACTCCAACGCTAAAACACTTGGTTTGGGCGTTTTGGCATTCGAGACCAGAGTCTTTTTCCAACAGCAGGGCGCTAAAACGTTTGATCAAGAAGTTTTAGCGCCCAAGACCAGCAACTTTTGTCCTCAGATTGCAGCAGCGCGCTAAAACATTCTGTGTGAACGTTTTAGCGCTCAGCACCAGCAACTTTTGTCCTTCGTTTGCAGCAGCGCGCTAAAATGTTCTGTGTGGACGTTTTAGCGCTCAACACTTAGGTATTCTCCCTTTCTCCAGAATCTTCTTCTTTCTTTCTGCTGCTCCTTAAGCTTCATTTCCCTACAAGACAGTGTAATTTTTAAACAAAGTTTTTGTAACAGCCCCAAACCCTGTAGCAGGATATTGTCCGCTTTGCCCCGCGCACAAGCACCGCCGAGCTCACGGTTTTACGTTTTGGGTTACCCCCAAAAGGCCTCCTACAAGGAAAGGTATCCACACCCTTATTTAAGGCATGCTTCGTTCCCCTCTCCAACCGATGTGGGACAATACATCCTCCCCCACTGGGAATACAGCGTCCCCGCTGTACACACCGGACATGTCCCACATCGGTTGGAGAGGGGAACGAAGCATGCCTTAAATAAGGGTGTGGATACCTTTCCTTGTAGGAGGCCTTTTGGGGGTAACCCAAAACATAAAACCGTGAGCTCGACGGTGCTTGTACAGCGGGGTAAAGCGGACAATATCCTGCTACAGGGTTTGGGGCTGTTACATTTTATGGTATCAGAGCAGTTTTGTGTGGGACTCTGATTATGTCTAACTGTATCTTGTGTTGCATAGCTATCTGTGAACTCTTTATGATGTATGTATATGTGATTTCTCAGTGTGAGTCTGATCAGCTCATTCCTTGTGTTACATGTACAGATATCATGAGGAGGGCTCGTGGTCGCCGTGGGACATGAGGTGCAGATCCTCAGCCGCCGGATTCGGATACTGCAGTTCTTAGGCGGAAACGGCCGCGAATCGAACCATGACTGAAAACCTGATGAAGAACAATCAGGATATGATGACGACCTTCATGAATCAGATGAGGGCTGATAGATATCGTCATAGGAGGGATGATTCTCCTCCACATACGGCTACAGTGACACCTACACCTACGCCTTTTTTTACTCCTCAACAGGGGGAGAGTGGAGCTAGTCACCACACTGGTGAGGCTAGCCACCATACTACGGATCCTACATATGTTCCGCAACCTTCTGTTGTTCAGTCCACTGGGGCTGCTGAGCGAGTTGTTGATGATGCTGCTGATGAGCGAAGGCTCATATCGTTTAGGAAACACAAGCCACCCGTATTTTTGGGGTCAAAGGACCCGAAGGAGGTTACTACTTAGCTAAGGGGAATGGATAAGGTATTCCAGGTGATAAGGTGCCAAGATCCGCAAAAGTTATTATATTCTATGTATATGTTGGAGGGTGATGCCCAAGAATGGTGGGACACCATTTCTTGTCCTTATGTTGTTCAGGGTGAAGAGATCTCGTGGGCCATGTTTGAGGGCCTATTTCATGAAGAATACTTTCCCCATGATGTGAGAGAAGCTAAACAGGGAGAGTTTGATAAGTTGGTGCAAGGGTCAATGTCGTGGATGCTTGTGTGGCTAAATTCAATGAATTGGTCAAGTTTGCCAATTATGGAGGTACTCTGCCTACGCCCGAGTTTTTATCTGCAAAATTCCAAAGAGGGCTGAGTGAAAATATTCCCAAGAGGATGTCAAATATGGCAGTGAGAAATTTTGCTGATCTTGTGACCCAATGTAAGAGGGTTGAGACTGTTTACGATAGATATCCAAAATCTAATTCCGCAAAAGTGCAAGAGAACAAGAAGGCGGCTGGTCTTTCTGGAAGTAGCAATAGAGGTGGATACATTCACAATAACAACAGGGGAAGGGGGTTGCAAGTAAGGCAGCCTTCTGGTCAATTTAAGAAGAGTGGAGCCTCGGGCGTAGGAACTGTCGATAAATACTATACCCCACAGTATGGTAAGTGCAAGAAATACCACAGAGGTGTATGTGGTGCTGGCCCGGGGGCTTGTTTTAAATGTGGTCAGACAGGCCATTTTGCTAGGAGTTGTCCGTCTTCTGCTGGACAGGCCGCGAATCTGCAGGCCTGGGCATCTTATACTCATACTGCGGGACAGGCTGCGAATCTGCAGGCCTCACCGACTACTACTACTACTGCTGCTATCCCTACTGTTGGAAGGGTGTATACTACAACTGCTCAACATACTGAAAAGGCCCCGAACTTGGTAAAAGGTATAATTTTAATTTCTAATGTTGATTTGTCTGTGTTGTTTGATACTGGGGCTACGCATTAGTTCGTGGCGAAATATGTCGCTAATGGGTTGGGATTAAAAGTATCACGGATGATTCCCCCTATGCGTATTACTACGGCTACAGGAGAGGTTAGTGATTCCTCCTTCATTTGCAAAGAGGTCGGGTTTGTCTACGAAGGCAGGGGTTACACTATTGATTTAATTATCTTGCCCCTGGCTTCTGTTAATTTGATATTGGGCATGGATTGGTTGTCTCAAAACTGTGCAATGATTGATTGTTACGGCAAGAGGTTGGTATTGTCTCACGAGAAGCCCTCGGTTACTCCGTTTCACTTTTTGTCTATGTGTCAAGCTGTTAAAGCCTTGAAGGCTGGGGATCAAGGTTATATCTTCTTGGGTGGACTGGTTGGTGGTAAGAAGATTGAAATTTCTACAATTCCGGTGGTTAATGAGTTTGAGGATGTATTCCCTGATGAGATACCGAAATTTCCACCCGAGAGGGAGATTGAATTTTCAATAGAATTGTTGCCTGGTGTGGGGCCTATTTCATTGGCTCCGTACCGGATGGCGCCACTTGAGTTGGCTGAGTTGAAGAAACATATTGAGGAGCTGTCAGCAAAGGATTTTATTAGGCCGAGTGTGTCTCTGTGGGGAGCACCGGTAATCTTTGTGAAAAAGAAGGATTGAAGCATGAGACTGTGTACTGACTACCGGAAATTAAATAAAGTTACGGTTAAGAACAGGTACCCATTGTCACGTATTGATGACTTGTTGGATTAGTTGAGGGGTGCCTGCGTGTTTTCAAAGATTGATCTCCGGTCCGGATACCATCAGATTCGGATTAGGCCGGAGGATGTGCCTAAAACGGCCTTTCGTTCTAGATATGGACACTACGAGTATCAGGTGATTCCTTTTGGGCTTACAAATGCCCCGACAGTGTTCATAGACTACATGAATCGTATTTTTAAACCGTATTTGGATCAGTTTGTGATTGTGTTCATCGACGACATCTTAATTTACTCTAAGAGCAGAGAGGAGCATAGTGAGCATTTGAGGATGGTGTTACAGGTATTAAAGGATAAAAAGTTGTATGAGAAGCCGTCAAAGTGTGAATTCTGGTTATCTGAGATACAATTTATGGGTCATGTTATTTCTGAGAGGGGTGTTGCGGTGGATTCAAACAAGATTGATGTTGTTATGTAATGGGAACGACCAAAAACTGTTACTAAAATCCGCAGCTTTCTCGGTCTTGCTGGATATTATATGAGGCCTTTTGGGGGTAACCCAAAACGTAAAACCGTGAGTTCGACGGTGCTTGTGCGCGGGGCAAAGCGGACAATATCCTGCTACAGGGTTTGGGACTGTTACAAGGAACCTCATAACATACATCCTCAGTGCATATATAAATGTGAATGAATGCACATATACAACATATCTTATAATAACCCTAATTTGGATAATTCAAAATTAAAGAGTTATTATGAGGACCTAAGGGTAACTAATGAGATGAGAAAGAAATTATATGAATTTTGATATCCATATTGTTAGGTATTTTAAATAGGTGGATTTCTGCCTGTTGATTTTGACTGTTGATGCAGCAATAGAGAGTAGAATAACCCTAACCAGGTGAATCTGAGTTAGAGAGTTATTCTAATACTATCAATATCATAGATGAGTATAGAATTCAATTCTGTAAAGATTGACACCCATATCGTGGGTATTCTGAGAAAGTGAGTTTTGTCTTAGTAGTTTGTACTGCTGAGGTAGTAACATGTATATGATTAACTCTAATCATTGAATCTGAGTTAGAGGACTATGCTTAGGATAAAATCATCATAAATGATAAGAGGATTTGCTTCTATGAATTCTGATACCTATATTGGGGTATTTTGATAAAATCACTGTTACCGGGTATTTTGTATTGATGTGACAGCAGCCGGTATAGTTCTGAAATGAGAAAAAGATGAGAAAAGAGAAGATAAATCCAATATATGCCAAACAAGTCATAATTAGACCAATGATGTAAATTTAAGAAAGTTATGAAGTTCGGGTACAGTTAAGGATACCCGTAAAGACTATAGTCTAATTAAATAGCAGTAAGTGTATCTGTGAGATACTAATTAGATTTTTGAGTTAGAAATATGTTGATTAAACAAACTTAATATTAATTACTTAAATTTGGGATCTCAGGGGTTTCCGGGTAAAAAATTGATAACTGTTCAAAGAAAAATTACACCGGGTGTCACTAAATGACAGAAAGCCACTTAATGACATGGCAAGATCCTAAAAACATAAGGAGACCCTCTTCCCTTGCAGCCATCAGCTCCCAACAGTCCCCTCTCTCTCTCTCTCTAAGTTTGAGTTTTTAAATTTTCTCCACATTCTCTCTAAGATTTCACCATTTAAACTTCATTAAAATCCAAAACACTCTTCACCAATCTTGTTCCTTAGCTGTTGAACTTCTGAAAGCTTGTATTTTTGAACCTTGGAACCAAAATTTCGTGGCTGAATTTCCCCCATACAGCAGCTCCATCTCCTTCCTTTTATGGCAAAAAAATGGTGGTTGAAGCTCTTTGTTGAAGAACACACTTCCTTTGGTCATTCTTTGAGTTCCTAGTGTAAGTTCTTGCAGTTTCTTCTTGAAAAATCCTACCTTTACTCTTTTAAATTCATGTTCTTGGTTCTAAACACTTGAATATTTCATGAAGGTGTGTTCTTGGTGAAAAAAAAAAGCATTCTTAGTAAGTAAAAGTTGGAGCTTGAACTAAAGGAGCCATCTTGAAGAAGTAAAGCTTGAATCTATGGAAAAGATGACCAAAAATCCTCCTTTCCTCCACATTTAATTTTGGCCATAAGGTTTTTATGATATTAATGATGTTGTATTTTCTTAAAAATTGGAGTCTTTGTGTTTAAATGAGTTGGTGGAAGTCTAAAACTCAAGAAAGATGAATACTTGTAAGAGAAAATATCACTTTTGGTGGCTGTGTGAGTTGTTCTAGATGTGGATGAACTAATAACCCTGAAAACTATATGTTATAATTCTTCCCCATTCATTAATATTAGTGTTTGATGGTTATAAATTATAAAGATGGTACCTTTGTGGATTAAGGACTAGAAGGACTTAATTAAACCATTAAAGTGTGTTAAAAAGACAAGTAAAAACCCTTATCTTATGACTATGCAATTTGGTCATTAAGATATATATTAGGGTTTGATGTTTTAAAATGGTTCTAAGACTTAATTAGGACATTAATGGAGGGACTAAGTGAGGTGGATTAAGCATAATTGATTAATTAACTCTTAAACCCTAAAATTTGACCTAATTAGGGATTAGGACCACTAATCATGTAATTAGTGAAGTAAATGAACTAATGTATAAGTGATGATGTGAAAGTACATAAGGGATATAAATAAGTTAAAAACCTAAATTTATGTTCACTTAGGGTTTCCAACTAAACCTAATTAGGGTTTGCTAATTAAACCTAATTAAGGGATCAATTGCTAACTTAAGCCTAAGGTGAGTTTGAATCCACTTAGGTATGTAATTAAATGATGGAAAAATTATATGGAAATAGCATATATACATTTCGGCCATATCAAGTTAATTAGGGTTTTATGTTGCAAAATGATTAAGAATGATGAATTAGGGTTTGATTGTGTAATTAAGGATTAATTCCAATGTGGATTAAAGTGTGAGTTGATTTTCCTTGTTATGTGACCTTGTATATGTCGTGGCCAAGTAGGTAATGTGACCTTGATTTGGTTAATCCTTGAGTTAGTGGCTTAGAGTTTAATTAATTTAGTTAAAAAGGCTTAAAAGTAAATGATATTTGAGAATTGGATTGTGATTCTTCGAATTGTCTTAAGCTGTGAACTTAAGTCTTAGGATCCTAATGTGAATTAATGTTCAAGGTTATGAACGACATATAAGGATGATTACTGTCTTGATTAGTTGTAAGATAAGTGGAAAAGGCCTTAATCTAAGAGAGTTTATTGATGGACTAAGTGTCTAATGAGTTATTGTGGACTTAGGGAACAAATGAACACCTTATGTGCCCTATGTATGTCACAACCATGAAGGATATATATGGCTAGGATGAGTTGAAAATAATACAAGTTATCTTAGTTACCTTAGAGTGTAATTCTAAGATGATTGAAGTGCTTAAATCACATAGTTGATTTTGTTGTAAGGTAACACTTCCTTATGAACTAAAACATATAATTATGTAGTTAATAGTCTAGACTTGTGTTGGGCATATTATTGGCATATGAGTATGTAAAAAGGAAAATGGGATCAATAAATGGATAAGTCTTGTATATTTACTTGACTAATTAATATGTTATTAATGTATATGTATGATTCCTTCTCTAAGTGTGCCTAGAGATATTTGCTTGTGAAGACATTGAGTTGGAGCATACGTAGTTGCCTTGGCAAGTGGGCTTGAGTATAGCTCTCTGAGGTAAGCTCTTTCTTTAGGATGTTCCTTCTCTTGTGACTCTGCCATGATGGTGGGCATTATGGTTGCAATTGTATGAAAGTATGAGATATGTTGTATATATGCATTCATCCACATTCATATAGAGATTATATGATTCATTAAGTTATAATGCACTGATGATGTATGTTATGAGGTTCCTGGCTAGTGAATATGTATGTAGGCTCTTGGATCATCCCCTTGAGTTATTTCATGCTCTTGAGATATTGTGTGTAGACTGTCTATGACTAGACTCTGGAATAGCTAACCAGGATCATATATGATGTTATGTTTATATTGTATGGTTATATATATGCTTTATACCTGGCTTGTCATGCAAGAAATGAGTTCAAGGGAATAGAGGATTCTCTATAAACCTTGAGCTTACTGAGATTGTTGTTATCTCACCCCTTCCTGGGGATATTATTTGAGGTACCTACCTTAGTGGTGAGCCCTCCATGGAGTATGACCAGGCATGTGGCTAGTGGAGTGCTAGTGGATATTTATTTGATAGCATGTTTATGTTAATTGTGTAATAATACTCATGACTTGTATTTGATGAGCATATGGAGAATTATGTATTGATTATGTATTTGTTTAGATGCATGTGTTGATTATATGAACATGTTGTAATTGATGTTTAGTTTTGGGCAAGGAGCCTTTATGTATGTATTGACCCATTGAGGGGATCACAGTCCGTGTGGGACTTGTTAGATGTCTAATTATATAAATTGTGTCTGTCAGGATTTATGTTATTGAGTGAGATTCTTATCTCCAGATATCTGATAAACAACCATTATGTTGTCCGTAAGACTTTGGCAGGAACGACACTTGTTGTCATATCTGGTTCGTCAATGACCACTACTAATGGCTAATGGAATTAGTTAATAGTTGTATGTTTTAGATTCACGCTTATGCAGATATCTCATGTGAACGATTTTGGAAATATTTTTAGAAAACATTTTGGAAAAAGCTAACTCATATTTTTATAAGACGATTTCATATTTAATAAAATCAAGTCTTCCGCTGTGTATGCTAAATATCATGTATGTTAACAACTGGAGTACTACGGGGTGTTACATATCTCATACTCTCATACAATGTAACCATAATGTCCATCATCATGGTGGAGTCACAAGAGAAGAGGAACATCCTAAACAAAGAGCTTACCTCAGAGAGCTATACTCAAGCCTACTTGTCGAGGCAAGTATGTATACTCCAACTCAATGTCCTCACAAGCAAGTATCTCTAGTCACACCTAGAGAAGGAATAATACATATACATTAATGACATATTAATTAGTCAAGTAAATATACAAGACTTATCCATTTATTGATTCCATTTCCTTTTTACATACTCATATGCCAATAATATGCCCAACACAAGTCTAGACCATTAATTACATAATTACATATTTTAGCTCATATAGAAGTGTTATCTTACAACACCATTCATTATGTGATTTAAGCACATCACTCATCTTAGAATTACACTCTAAGACAACTAAGATAACTTGTATTATTTTCAACTCATCCTAGCCATATATACCTTAACGGTTGTGACATACACCATGAAAAACAAGGTGTTTATTTGTTACCTAAGTCCATAATAACTCATTAGACATTTAGTCCATCAATAAACCCTTTTAGGTTAAGGCATTTCCCACATAACTTACAACTAATCAAGACATTTATCATCACTATATATCATTCATAACATTAATTCGCATTAGGATCCTAAGACTTAAGTCCACAACTTTAGACAATTCCAAGAATCACAATCCAATTCTCAAAGATCATTCACTTTTAAGCCTTTTTAACTAAATTAATTAAACTCTAAGCCACTCACTCAAGGATCAACCAAATCAAGGTCACATTACCTTACTTGGCCGTGGCATATTTATTGCTAATCCTCATGGAAATTCAACTCACACTTCAATCCACAAGTTGAAGTAATCCTAAATCACACAATCAAACCCTATTTCATCATCCATTAATATTTTGCAAACTAAAACCCAAATTAATCAAGGTAAGGTCGAATTGTATATGGGATAATTACTTACGATTTTTCCATCATTTAATTTCCTGCCTATGTGGATTCAAACTCATCTTAGGCTTAACTTAGCAATTGACCCCTTAATTAGGTTTAATTAGCAAACCCTAATTAGGTTTAGTTGGAAACCCTAAGTGAACATAAATTTAGGTTTTTTCACTTATTTATATCCCTTATGTGAATCCACATCATCACTTATGCATTAGGTCATTTACTTCATTAATTACATTATTAGTTGTCCTAAACCCTAATTAGGTCAAATTTTAGGATTTAGAGTTAATTAATCAATTATGCTTAATCCACCTCACTTAGTCCCTCCATTTGTGTCCTAATTAAGTCTTAGAACCATTTTTAAATATCAAACCCTAGGATGAACACACACGGCCGAATTGCAAGGTGCCAAAAATTAGGGTCTTTACATGTTTTTCTACACACTTTTTTGTTTAATCAAGTCCTTTATGTCTTTAGTCCTCAAAGGTACCATCTTTATTAATTTTAATCATTAAACACTAATTTTAAAAGCTAGGGCAGAATCATAACATGTCGTTTTTAGGATTCTTAGTTCATCCACTTCAAGAACAACACATACATTAACCAAAAATGACACTTTCTCTTACAAGTCATTTCTTGATTTTAAGACATCCACCAACACATTTAGACACCAAGACACCATTTTTGATAATTTACGACATCATACTCATCATAATCTCATCATGGCCGAAATAGAAAGTGGGGAAAATAAGGGTTTGGAGTCATCTTTTCCATAGATTCTTGTCTTACTTCTTCAAGATGGCTCCTTTAGATCAAGCTCCAACTTTTTCTTACCAAGAATGCTTTTTTTTAACCAAGAAAACACCTTCATAAGATATTCAAAGATTTAGAGCCAAGAACATAAATTTGAAAGAGTAAAGGTATGGTTTTTAAGAAGAAAATGCAAGGAACTTACACTAGAAACTCAAAGAATGACCAAAAGTGTGTTATTCAACAAAGAGCTTCAACAACCATTTTTTGCCATAGAAGGAAAGAATATTTCGCTTCTGCATGTGTAAGTTCAGCCACAAAAATGGAGGTACAAGAGTCAAGAATACAAGTTTTCACAAATTCAAGAGCTAAGGAACAAGATTTATGAAGAGTGTTTTGGATTTTGATGAAGTTTAAGTGGTGAAATCTTTAGAGAGAAGGAGGAGAAAATTTAAAAACCTCCAAGGTAGTGAGAAAAGTGTTTGGGCTGCTGATGAGGGTGAGGAAGAGGGGCTCCTTTTGGTTTTAGGGTTTTGCCATGTCACTTAAGTGGCTTTCTGTCATTTAGTGACACCCGATGTAATTTTTCTTTGAACAGTTATCAAATTTTTACCCATAAACCCCCGAGATCTTAACTTTAAGTAATTAATATTAAGTTTGTTTAATTAACATGTTTGTAACTCAAAAATCTAATTAGTATCTTATTCTATTTTTATATTATAGTTTATTTCATATTTATTTATCTTTTTTTTAGATATGTATATGTTTCATATATTTTTTTTGAAGAAATTCCATTTTTTCTATTTTACAAACTATTCAAATAGAATAGAAAATATATCATACAACATCGAGATAATTTTAATTTTGTTATACTTATTTAATTTATAAATTCTCCAATCATATAGAGGAAAAACCTAGAAGTTTGGCTTCTTGAGCAATATTCTTCCCCTGAATTGAATAACAAGAGGCAACTCCATATAAACTTCTTCAAGTAACTCACCATTGAGAAATGCGTTATTGACATCTAATTGATGAAGATGCCAGCTTTGAATAAAAGCAACTGCAAGAAGAGTCTTGACAGTGGCAAGCTTTGCCACTAGTGAAAAAGTATCAATAAAATATATTCCTTTTCGTTGTGTAAATCCTTTGGCCACTAAACAAGCTTTATGTTTATCAATTGAACCATCAGCCTTGAGTTTTATTTTGTAGATCCATTTACAACCAATTTCACTCTTGTCAGGTGGTAAAGCAACAACAGACCATGTCTTGTTAGCTTGCGTAGCACTTAACTCAGCAGCCATAGCCTCACGCCATTGTGAAAATTTGATTGCCTGATGATAAAAGTGAGGCTCAAAATGAGAGGAAACATTTAAAACAGAATTCATGTGATGTGGAGATATATGATAATAGGAGACTATACTAATGACAAAGGATATAACACTTCTGCATTAGTAATATTATGAGTTAAGAGACTGCAAAGATAGTCTTGAAGATATTGTGGAGCCTTAGAAATTCTGGTTGATCTCCGAGTAACTAGAGGTTGAGCAGTATTACTAGTTGTGTTGTTACTGAGATGGGCTGGTCCAGTTGAAGATGGAACCTGTTCCAGTTAAAAATCAAGATCCTTGCAAGGTACAACCAAGTCAGGGAATAAATCAACCTCTGAAGAAACTTGGTTAACACCGTGAAAAGGAAAAATGTCTTCATAAAAAACTACATCCCGGGAGGTGAACAACTTATGAGTGTTCAGATCATATAGTTTATAAGCTCTCATACCAGGTGGGTATCCAAGATATAACACCTCACAATTTTAAATCAAGTAATTAAAATATCAAGTGAGCAATCAAGTGATGGATTAGTGAAAATCCTAAAGATTAGGCCAAAATACAAAGAAAGGGCAAAATGGTAATTAGCCAACACGCACCCTAGGCAGATAAAAATTGAGTAGAAGGTCTCCGATGATAAAAATAACCCTGGAAATGGATTCAGAACGAAAAATTGATTGGACAGGCAAGTTTCAGAAAAATCAGTGAATAGTGTTTTTCGCGGGTAAAAATATCGTGGTACGATTCCACCGTAAAACGTGCCGATTGAGTTTTGAGCTCTAGGTTTCAAATATGAGTTATAAATGGTTTGTTGAGTTAGGAAATATGATTTTGATGGAATTGAGTCATTTTGGGAAAAATTGATGAATAATGATTTTCCAGTGTAAAATACTGCGGTATAATTGTACCGATAAGCGTGAAAATTTTATCAGTATTTTTGGGAAACAAAAATATGACATGAACAAGAAAAATACGTAGGTCATGAATTTATGGTTGAAATTAGTGATTTATTTAAAGTTAAATCGCGTGTGGGACCCACCTATGGCTTAAGTGACTTAAAAGTCACATTTTCATTACATTTTCTCTTTCCTCCCTCTCTTCCTCCCCGTGACCAGCAGCCCTCCTCCCCCCATTTTTCATGAAAATTTTCTTTGATCCATAACTTAGCCGTTTCTCCACCGAATCCAATGATTTTTGTCTTGAATCTTGATGGAAATCACCTTCTAAACACATTGGTACCCTTCTTGAGCCTTGAAATCGCATGTGGGAGGAGATCCTGCCCATTTTCAGCCGTGACTTGGAGGGGAATTTTGGTGTTCATGGAGCTTTGGAATGCTCCAATGGTGGAGTATGTGTAGGAGGAGTCATTTGCCTAGCATTTGGGTGAGTTGATACACCTTTTCATTGGTTGATTCATGAGATTGGATATTTGAACCCTAAACTTTGATTTGATGAATTGTGATGTTAGAGAGCTCAATTTGAAAATGTGCATTAGATGATAATGTGTTAGAATGATGTATTAAAGCTAGAAATGCAATAAAATTTATTGTGAAAATTGATGAATTTAACTTAGAAAAATTTGATGATCATGATTTTGGACTTGTGAATTTTGGTGTTGAGACTTGTTGGATGAATTGTGGCATGATGGTATGATGATATAATAGGTTGTGTGAAGGTTGGAATGATTAGAATTGAATGGAAATTCCTTGGAATGCCATAGGGTAAAATTCGAACCTTTGAGGAAAAATTGAGGAATTAATGTTGAAAAATGAATTGGATGATGAATTGTGTAGTTATATAGTGCTTAGATGGGTGGTGTTGTGGCTTGAAAGTGTTTGAATCAATGGGAAAAGTGAATTGTGTTTAGAGACCTAAATGAGCCCAAAGTGAAATATTTCACAAAACGATGCGTAAATGTCGTAAAACGGAAAAACGACGATTGAACTAGCCTCTAAGCAACCTAACGGAGTGTTATAAAATGAGAAAGAAAATTTAGAAAATTAAATCCCCAATTAACACCTATATGGCCGAACCTCCAAGGGAAAAAGGGGGGATTTTGCGGTTTTCGCGTTCTGATGTAATCCGACGCGAAAATGACGAACCGGCACTTGAATTGGCCTATTGACAACCTAATGAGACGTAACAAAATGAGAAAGAAAATTTAGAAAAATAAATCTCAAATTTACACTTCATTGGCCGAACCATCAAGGGAAGATGGGGAGGATTTTGTGATTTTGCGTTTTGATGATATTTGACGCGTACTGATGGATGTACGTAATTGTATAGGTTGTCGTACGTTGACTTGAATCCCGAAACTTGAATCTGGGAGTTACCCTTGGTCTTGGACCAAGTGGATTGAGGTATGTAATTGGTTCGATGCATGAATAATTGTGAATTAGCATGTATTGTTTGAATTATAAGTGATTGGGAATGTCCTCTGTGTAGTCATTCTACTGTGTACCAAGTTGAGGGATAAGCTACTGCGGAGCTTGTGAAAACAATATTTCAGGTAACCTCTTGGTACTGGGGCTTGTTCCCCTTTTCTGTTCCACCTTGCCAGTTGATGGCAACGGTAGGAAGTGTGTATGAATAGTATAGAACACATGAGCATGCATGCATTATTGCTATGGGTACTGCGGTACCGAGTCTCTGGCCAGTAGACAGTTTTATTAGCCTTCGGGCATTTTCGGACTTCCGCTGGATAGGTCTCCAGGAGGGAGTTCCAGTTGACTGCGTGTCATGGTGTGTGATCCGGGTAGGAGCACACTAGGAATGTCTTTGGCGTTTTGGTTGGTTTGGGCATCATGGTTGTGGTTTCTGTGAACACACCTTGGATGATACGCATAGGCTTATATATGCCCAGGGCGTATATGGAATTGGGGTTACCATCCCGTATCGTCGTAGTTTGTTTCTTTATATTCCCCATTTCTCTAAATCCCTTGCTATATCCCGTTTTCAAAGTGGTTGTTTTATTCTATTGATATGCATCGAAGTGAACCATTGGGTGGAGTTTTCTCCAGAACCTCTTGGTTACTGAGATATATTCGTATATCTCACCCCGTCTCGGGGCATTTATTTCAGGAGGTAGCAGTGGAGCCGGAGCAGCGGGCAAGAGGCCCGCTGAGTGAGCAGTGGAGTGCTTCACATTTTGCATTTTGTTGGCCGTGTGGCCTAGGCTAGACTTAGGGCATGAACATCTCATATGTATGTGGTATGAGCTTGGTTAGCATATTTTTTCATGCCATTTTGCCTAAGTCTAGTAGTTATGTATTTGGTTATTTTGTCATTTGAATTTAAGTTGTAATATTGGAAGAATGTAAGTTAAAGTTTAAGTTTCAAGTTGTAAGTTGTAAAGCAATATTGTAATCGTATTTGATGCATGACTATTTATGATGGAAGGGCCTTAGGCCTATTTTAGGGTATGATTACATGTATGATGAAAATATGCATGAAAAAGGTGTTAGTGATTGCAACTACTTAAGAATTATTAATATGAACTATATGCCTAATAACTATATACTGGATTGGGTTGTAAGTGCCCCAAGGCGTTGTTGGTCCTTGTGTGTGCCACCCATTTGATTATTACTGTATTATCATGTGATTATTAGGTACATTTGAGGCTTAAATGATCTTTTACAAATTTGGGATTATTAGAAAAACAAAGGAAACTCTGGCGAATTTTCTGTAGAATTGGCAGATTTTAGGCGAACTTCGGGAGAGCATATCTCCCTCCATAGAGGTCCAATAGGGACGTGCCATACGCCATTTTGAAGTTTGAGATGTCCTCTATCTTGTGTCAAAAATTGGGGAAAATATGGGTTGATATTCGGCCTGAAAAAAATGGAGAAACGCGGACTGCTCATGTGCCACTGCATTTGAGGCAGTTCTGGACCGGATTTGGGAAATTAATTCCTGCTTCGTTTCTCAGTCAAATTAAGCGTATGATATATAAAAATGAATTTTGAGATGTCTAGTTTGTAGGATAAAAATTTGAGAGCAAATGGATGAGTGGATTAAGTGAAGTAATTCGAGTAATGTGAGTGGTTTGGAGTAGTTTTTGGGGTTGTTTGGTTGTTTGCTGATCCAACTTCAAACGGCGATAACCGGAGCTAATGAGCTCCGAATTGAGCATATGATAGCTTGTTGAAAAGGGAATTGAGTAAGACAAAGATCTAATCCGAGAAGAAGGTTTGGTTGCGAGCGGTGTGGTCGCAGAAAAATTAAGAGTGAAACATGTCCGAATAGGTAAAAACGTAAAGTTTGGAATTTGGCTAAGTGAGTTTATGGGAACTCCTTAGTAACTTATAATAAGGAATGTGAGTTATAAAAATAGTTTAAATAAGTCTTCCGCAAGAGTTTACAGTTACGGTCACAACTTTTAATTATTACGCCTTTTATGTTTTAAATGCTCGCGTAATAATCGAAAAAAGTTTATTCGCATTTTTATAAATGAACTGCTATGATTGTAACTGCGCTTAATATCATAATTAATGTTAACAATACCGGTGTACAACGGGCTGTTACATTTTATGGTATCAGAGCAGTTTTGTTAGGGAACTCTGATAATGTATAGTTGTGATGTATGTTGCATAGTTGTATGTAGATTCTTATTGATTACTGCATATGTGATTCCTTAATGTGGGTCTGATCAACTCATTCCTTTGTGTTACATGCGTAGTCATCGTAAGAAGCCTGCGTGGCAACCTTGGAGCACCGAATGTAAGTCCTTAGCCTGATGTTGTGGATGCAGTGTTGACTGCTCCATGGACAAGAGATGGCAGTAAGTAAAATATGAATATTAGAGGACTTAAGGGAACACAGACTTAAATATTTTGTCTGACTTTGGATGAAAGTTATAAAATTGTATTATAAGTGAAAGTTGTAAACAAACCTATGATATGTACGGTATTGCATGGGTGAACCTTGTAATACTATGAATAATAAATATATATAATTGAGATGAGTCTATAGGATGA